AAAAAAAAAAAAAAAAAAAAAAAAAAAAAAAAAAAAAATTAGCCAGATGTGTTGGCATGTGCCTGTTATCCCAGCTACTCTGGAGGTGGAGGCAGGAGATCGCACCATTGCACTCCAGCCTGGGCAACAAGAGCAAAACTCCATCTCAGAAAAAAAGAAAAAGGTTAAATATATCAGTCGTTACCTGGGAAAACACCACCACCACCAATCCTTGCAAACTAATTATCCAGAACTGTGTTAGCATGCTAAGCCAGCCACTCAGCACCAGCTCCCATTGCAAGAAGCATTTTCAAGGGTTAATCTTAAAATTAATCAAACAACAATGTTGTTCTGTCTAGGATTCAAAGGCTATTTTTATCAGTCCATTTATTTATTTTTTAAATAGTGCTCAGCAGCAGGAGATATTGTCAGTTTAAAGCCTTTGATCTCTGAATTACTCTTTTGTGTTCTTCTAAGATTTTTTAAACTTTATTCAAAAAAGTTTTTGATGAAGATTTGGAATCTTCCAAATCTTTGGCAAGAATTGGTGAGAAAGTGGAAAAGAAAGCTGATGCTTAGGAATTGGATCAATAAATAAATTGGCATATCTGACTGAACAAAGAAAAATGTTACAGATATTAGAGGAAACGTTTTATTTTACATATGCTATATAACTAAGGAATTGTCTTCTTATTCATTTCAGCCATGCCCTGTGTGCAATTGTCTGGATTTTTACCCCAAATATAATATAGTCTAAGACAGTCTTTCAGCTCAGTCTTTATTTCTTCAGCAAAGGGAGCAAGCCTCCACTCAACGCAAGTTAGAAGATGATCTTCAGGAGGCCACAAAGCTACTGGAGGAGAAACGGGAGCAGTTGAAGAAGAGCAAAGACCATGAGAAGCTGATGGAGGAAGAACTTGAAGCTTTGCAGCAGGAATTTAAAAAGAAAGACAAGACGGTGAGTGGGAAAATCCCAGGAGAGCTGGGTCAGAAATCCAGAGCAGGATATGAACCCAGCTGGGCCTGGAGGGATGCAGAGGCCCTGGATGCCCAGATGTCAGGAAAGACGACAGGGAGCGTGGGGAAGGCCAGCGCGGAGGGGAGCCAGAGGCCTGAGCTCCCGCAGGTGGAGATAGAGCTGGAGGAAGGCCTGAGCTCCCACAGATGGAGAAAGAACTGGGGGAAGGCTTGAGCTTCCACAGGTGGAGACAGAGGTTGGAGAAAGCCTGAGTTCATGCAGGTGAAGATAGAGCTGGAGGAGAGGGAGGGTGGATTGGGGCTTTTATAGGTATCTGAAATTAACACCTCTTGGCTGTGCCTTATTCTTTAATGAGGGAATAGTTGAAAGAGAATTCCAGAAAGTTGGAGGAAGAAAATGAGAAGCTTCGAGCAGAGCTACAGTATTGTTCTACACAACTGGAATCCTCTATTAACAAATACAACACCAGCCAGCAAGTCATCCAAGACTTGAATAAAGAGGTAAGTACACAGGAACCCCAAGGGGTGAGGAACTTGAACCCTGTGACCCTTGACCTGAAATCTGTACCCACCTCTCCTCCACCCAGAAATGCCACTAACTGCTCAGCCAGCTGTGGATCTTAGGCCACCTGTAGCTCCACTTCCCTCCCCATTGGCACCTGGTCGCTGAGCCAGAGAAATGTTTCTTCCATATGAGGAAGGTCTCATCTCATATCTGGTGGAGCCCCCAAGCTATTTGGGCTTTGGCATCAAGTCTTCCAATATTACATTTTAGACCAAAGTTGAATGAATCCATTTGGGGGAACAATTTGCCAGACAACACTTCCAAAACTTGTCACAAAGCACGAAAAGGGGGACAGTTATTTTTCATTACACAAGTAAAAATGACAGAAAGGAGTAAATAGCATCTGACATATGCTAGGCAGTATGCTTGAATTCAGTCATTATTTATTTATTGTCCACTTAAGCTCTTTACATGGCTTCCACATACTTTATTGCCAACAAGAGAGACATGATAGAGGAAAGAAAGATGGAGGGCGGGCCAGGCACAGTGGCTCATGCCTGTAATCCCAGCACTTTGGGAGGCCGAGGCAGGTGGATCACAAGGTCAGGAGATCGAAACCATCCTGGCTAACATGATGAAACCCTGTCTCTACTAAAAATACAAAAAATTAGCTGGGCTTGGGGGTGCACACTTGTAGTCCCAACTACTTGAGAGGCTGAGGCAGAATTGCTTGAAACCCGGGAGGTGGACATTGCAGTGAGCTGAGATCGCGCCATTGCTCTCCAGCCTGAAGACAGAGCAAGACTCCATCTCAAAAAAAAAAAAAAAAAGATGGAGGGTCAAAGTCACTCACCAGCAAGTGATGGGATGAACCACTATGTGAACTGGAATTATCTAGCTCTAACGCCTATCCCCTTTCTCCCTCATCATAAGCAGCCATACTTTCTCCAGCTGAATCCATTCCATCTTTCTGGGCATGAGAAAAATATAACACCATGGTAGATGGTCTCTCGGGCTACAAATGAAAGGCCAAGCAGCCGTTATTCCTTCATGATATAAAAATGAATCTTAAAGTAGTTGACTTTTCTAAGTATTAAATTAGCACTGCCCAGTAGAACTTGCTTCCTTTCTGTGATGATGGAAAAGTTGTATGTCTGAGTTGCCAGTGCTAGCCTTTAGCCACATGTGGCCATTGAGTGATTAGAATATGGCCTAGTATAACGGAGGAACTGAATTTGTAATGGTAATTAATGTTAATTATTGTTATGTTTATTTGAATGTAAATAGCCTAATGTGGCTAGTAACTACCATATTATACAGCACAGGCCTGAGGCACTGATGTTCTTGGAGTTGTCCTCCAGAGATAATAATCTCTCCTTGAGTGTGATCCAGAGTTGAAGTCAGAGTCACTCAGATCCCTAAGGAACCTCCGTGAACATATGTGATACTCAGATTCCTACGTGTTTAATATGGACATATTGTCATATTTGCCAAAAGAAAGATAACCAAGTAAATGTGAAAGTAAAAGCACTAATTTCAGAATACCTTTAATGAGAATCAGGAGGCTAGGTAATTTGTGCGTGTGTATAAGCATGTTCAGCTTTTAAAAAGCATACCCTGGCCAGGCGCGGTGGCTGACATCTGTAATCCCAGCACTTTGGCAGGCCAAGGTGGAGTTCAAGACTAGCCTGGCCAACATGGTGAAACCCCACCTCTACTAAAAATACAAAAGTAAGCTGGGCTTGGTGGCGGATGCCTGTAATCCCAGCTATTCAGGAGGCTGAGGCAGGAAAATCACTTGAACTCAGGAGGCAGAGGTTGCAGTGAGCTGAGATCATGCCATAGGTGACAGAGCGAGACTCCAACTCAAAAAAAAAGAACATACCCCACATATGGAAAACTTAATTAATTGAAACAGCCACTAGATAGAAGCTTTGGGTTTTTTTTCTAGAATGAACTTCATTTCATTAATATTCCATATTTTAATTTTAAATTTTTCCATCTGAAGCCAAGGCAATATATCTGGAGGTCTTTTCCATCTCTTTGTTTCAAGAATATTCCCATAGTATTTTATAAATTAATTACTGTCAATAATAGGAAAGCTCATTTATTTTTTACATATTCATTCTGTATTTGAACATCTTACTGAACTCATAAGTTGTAATTGTTTTTTAGTTCTCATGGATTTTTTAAGTAGATGATTATATTATTTGCAAGCAACAACAGTTTTCTAATATTTCTTTGCAATATTTATATTTATATAATTTTTCTTACCTATTGCATTGGACAGTACCTACAGTTTGATGTTCAATAGCAGCAGTATTAGCAGGCGTTGTTTTCTGGCATTTAACTTAAAGGAATGCCTCTGTTTTAGTATGATGTTCCCTGTAGCCTTCTTGTTGCTGTCCTTTAGCAGGCTTTTTCAGTTCCACATTACTAAGAGTTTTATTAATATGAGTGTTGAATTTTATCAAATGCTTTAAAAAAAAAAAAAAAGATGATTCTATCATCCTTATCCTTAACCCATTTCCCATTTAGAAAAAAAAAAAAGTACAGCTCACTGCCAATGCAGTATTCTTGGGGCAAATGGGAAATGAATTAAATAATGTGGTGAATAAAACAAATGAAGTAATTGATCCCGATTTTGGCATACCCTTGCATTCCTAGTATGAGTTTTGATTGTGCATCATGTCTCACTCTTTTAATATAACACTCAGCATAGTCTAAGACGTGAAATAAGGCCAGTATGATTGGAATGCATTGATCAAGGGAGACATTGGTATAGAATGAGATTAGAAAGGAAACAGGGACAGACATTATGGTCTCTGCTAAGAAACTTGGGATTTTATTCTAAAAGCATCAGAAAGCCATTAATGGATTTCCTCAAAGGGACAGGGGAGATTATTTGATCTAAGTTTTCAAAACATAACTCTGACTACTGTGTGGAAATGGATTGGAGGGAGCGATAAGTATGGAAGTGAGGAGACCATTTAGGAAGTTATTGCTGTCCAGGCTAGAGGGGTATCAGTGAAGAAGGAAGGGGGCAAATTTAGGATGTGTTTTGGAGGCCTAGCTAGAATTGACCAGTCTAGCTGATGGAATGAATGTGAGAGAAAGTGAGGAATCAAAGATGACTTCGTGAAATTCACCTATAAAACCATCTAGACCTAATACCATTGACAGCAGAGAGAATAGATCTTTTACTAGAACTTTGACCAGAATGCCTTGATTCTGTAATTTACATGTCTATATGTAGATTTTTAGCATCTTTCTCCAAGCTAAACGACTCATGTTAACAAAAAAATTTTTTAATTTTCCATTTTAGCTTCTAGCTTCACTGTGATTTTTTTTCACTATCCTCTGTTTTAGTGTCTCACCTCTATAGTGACATTTCTCAGTTCATCCATCACTTATCAAGCACTGATAGTAAATTATAGTTTCTCCGATGATTTCTCTAGTTTACTGGGCAGACCCTGCTGACTCCATGTTTTTCAGAAGTCCCCAGAAAAGATGCACTTCTGTTTTCAGAAGACCAAATTATTTCATCTTTAGGAATAGTTTCACTACCAGGACATGTAAAATATAGTGTCACAAGTCCAGTCTACCACTTTTCATCTCGCTAATTCCCAGGGCCAAAGGTACTCAAAATTTTATCTGGAAAAGTAATAAACTTGAAGCACTGTGCAGTTACTGGAGATAAAACAAGAAAAATCCAGAAGAATGTGTTTCTGTGTGCATGGCCACTTTCAGATGCAGGTGTGCTAGAATACCAAAGAGCCCAAGTCAGGCATATGAATTTCTGAGTTCCCCTTTGGCTTCCAGACTCAGAAGCAAATCTCTGTCCCGTACTTAAAGTATATAAGAAGGCTAGTTGCTCTGTGTGTCTATGACAATAACTCATAGTTGTACAGTAAAACAAAGCCCTTTTTACATGTATCATCTCATTTGATCATCATAAAAATTCCATGAAACAGTTAAAATGATTCCAATTTGTGGAAGCAAAAAGTGAGGCCAGAGAAATAAGTACCTGATAGAACCTGGACCTCAACCCAGATTTTTCTGACTCCAGATCTCAACTTCCTTTTAACTATACCATGAATACTCATTACTGAGTTGAAAACAGACTTCAGCTTTTAAACATGCTTCTACCAGAACTACATGTTTCTTAACATGTTGATCAATTGATCCCTAACTCCAAAAAAATGCAATATTTCATTTGTCTGTTGTTGCAGACAGAATAAAACCATTTTTGAGCATTTACTGAGCCCCTATCACGTCCCACGCCCTGAGTTACAGCAATGGGGAAACAGCAGGAAGCAAAACACACATACAATCCTGCTTTCATGGCACATCAAGTCTAGTGAATCACATCAGGAACTAAGTGAGGCATCAAACACAAAGGAAACGTTGTTATCATGTCCACTAACCCCGAATCGGATTCGGATCTTTATCAAAGGCTGCAGAGTATGTGAGAGACTTTCTATGTACTTGGCATATCATGCCCTCCCAGCACTGCTGGTTCTCCTGGTATTTGAGGGAAATGCAAACTAGAAAGGGAAATATGGCTGGGGGTGCAAAAGAGCCTGGAAAGACAGCTCTACCTTTTACAATGCTGAAGTGAAGATGTGGGTGTTAACACGGACCCTGCAGGTTGTTGCAGACAGGAGAGAGACTAGCTTTTGCTTATTTCCTATAGGCACAGAGAATGCCTCTATGACCCTGAGCTGCCACCCTGACAGTTCTGCTCTGTCTCCCTAAAGATAGCCCTTCAGAAGGAGTCCTTAATGAGCCTGCAGGCCCAGCTGGACAAAGCTCTGCAGAAGGAGAAGCACTATCTCCAGACCACGATCACCAAAGAAGCCTATGACGCGTTATCCCAGAAGTCAGCCGCCTGCCAGGATGACTTGACACTAGCCCTCGAGAAGGTGAGGCCACACCCTTTAGTCTCCAGGGCTGTTTTCAGGTAGCGGGAGAGGCACAGGAGCCAATTTCCGGCTTACTGACTGTCATTGGGGCCAACTCAAACCTTTGCATGGGCTGGGATGTCTGTCCAGAGAAGGCCTGCTTACTCTTTGTGAGGTTTGGAGAGGGGTGGAGGGCAGAGGAAGAGGACAAAGATCAAGGCCAAATCTAGCAAGCTTTTCTGCCCATGGGTGACTCAGGAGCAAAGTTTTCCCAAAGTCTGGATTGTCAGGGAAATTGATGCCCCATTCTGTGCTGATCATGGCTGGCCTGTCAGTTCATGGTATTGGAAGGAAAAAGTGGGGTAGAGAAAACCAACCACTGTCATTTCCCACCCCTCTCTGGGACACTAGGTAAGGTGACCATCCGTGTCACCCAGGGTAGAGAATAGGAAGGGACTAGAACCCTCCTCCATTCAGGACTCAGCAGAAAGGGCCAAAGACTCTGACAGCCATCCATCCCCTTTGTCTTTCCCGGAAGCTCAATCACGTGACCTCGGAGACAAAGAGCCTGCAGCGAAGCTTGACACAGACCCAAGAGAAGAAAGCCCAGCTGGAGGAGGAAATCATTGCTTATGAGGAAAGGATGAAAAAGCTCAATATAGAATTAAAGAAATTGCAGGGCTTCCACCAGGAGAGTGAGCTAGAGGTGAGAAGCAGCCAGGGGCTTGGGCTACCTTCCTGGTAGGGGTCCACAAGGTCACCTCTTGCATCCAGAATTATTTAGTACTAAGCCGTTTCCTTGAGCTGTTAGGTTCCCTCCATTCTCTTGGCTCCCTGAACTTCAGACAGAGGCGGCAAAGATCGGATCATGGGTGCCCTCTGCTGGCCGCTAGGAAGAAAATACCCCCAACATGTCTCTCAAGGCCCAGGAAGTACCCTCTGGCCTCGTTGTGGGTCCTGGGGTCAGGGAGACTGGCTGGGGTCCCCCTCCTCACTTTGTGCTCCCGAGCAGGTGCATGCCTTCGACAAGAAGCTAGAGGAGATGAGCTGCCAGGTGCTTCAGTGGCAGAAGCAACACCAGAATGACCTCAAGATGCTGGCAGCCAAAGAGGAGCAGCTCAGGGAGTTCCAGGAGGAGATGGCTGCCCTGAAAGAGAACCTCCTTGCAGACGAAAAGGAGGTGGGCATGCCTCAGCTTCTGAGCGCCTCTTCTCAGCAGCTTCAGGCACATCCCATGATCACCCAGATGCCAGACAGCCCTTGGTGGGGGTGGGGGAACCTGGGAGCAAAGGAAAGGACACCTCCTTCATTTAGCGCAAAGCAAAGGCCGCAGCTGCTGGCTCAACGCACCTGTGTTCTTGTGGCTTTGTTGATAGATACTAAGCAGAATGAAGGCCCCATTCTAGAGAAAAGACTATCAGGTACACCAGCTATCCCTGATCTAGTCCACTGGGTGTCCTTCCAGAGTACCTCCTGACACTTTCAGCAGCCCTGGACCCTACAGCAGAATTGGTTCAGTGACCTGGGCATGTCCCAGACCCAGCTCCCTGAGCAGTGAAGTTTACGGCAGGAGGCCTCAGGACATTTGGGTGACCACTGGGCCCTTCCTCAAATTAGAGGCATTTTAGGCCAGGCAGAATGGCTCATGACTGCAATCCCTACACTTTGGGAGGCCAAGGCAGGGGGATCACTTGAGTCCAGGAGTTTGAGACCAGCCTGGGCAATATAGCAAGACCTCATCTCTACAAAAACGTTTAAACGTTAACTGGGCATGGTGACCTATACCTGTGATCCCAGCTACCCAGCAGGCTGAGGTGGGAGGATAGCTTGAGCCAGGGGGAGGTTAGGCTGCTTGAGCTGTGATCACGCCACTGCACTCCAGCCTGAATGACAGAGCAAGACTGTCAAAAAAAAAAAAGAGAAAAAAAAAAAGGTATCTCTTCCTCCAGATGTTTTTATTCCATCTGTTAGAAAATTGGCTTAGCATAAGGACAAGTCACTTTAATGCCTTCAGACTGAAAACCGTAATTATAAGTGTACAAATCTGCTGTCACCACCACAAATGGTGCCTTCTCAGATATGTTACCTTTGTGTGACTTGCCACCCACATAGCCAGAGGACGCCCTGGGTGGCAACTCAACTCTGGCCTCAGGTTGGATAGCAGGGTCAAGTTTTGTTTTCCCAGGAAGACAGAAGAGGCCTGACTCGGAAGGACGGGTGACAGGCCTGTGCTCCCACCCCTGACTGTCGCATTTTCTTCTTGTACCCAAGCCCTGCTGCTTGCCCCAGCGGTGTGTGCCCAAAGACACCTGTAGTCTCCACAGAGAGAATGATCAGATTATGACCAACCTGGAGCAATGGGCGAAACAGCAGAAGTGAGTACGGAAGGAAAAAGGAAGGCAGGGTCCGAGGCCTGGACTGAGCTGAGGAGCCACGCGGGTGCCAAAGATTAGTCACACACACCCCTGCACTCCTGGAAAACAGATCCAGTCTCAGCCCACCAAGGGACGGGAATAAGATGGAGAGGAGGGCTCACCCCTTCGGGCAGGTCTGGAAAGCCCTGCTGACCAGGAAACAGCGGCGACAAGAAGGAAGGGGTGCCTTGCTGAGGTTCAGATGTCCTCTTCCTGTCCTGGGATCCAGCTTCACTGCCTGGCCCCCTTGAACTCATTCCCTTGAACTCACCTGGCAGTCACAGGGATTTTGCACAGGAGTTGAGTTCAGAAAATCTTCTGAATTGCCAGTTGCTAGGAAGGCCCCAGCTCTGGGCACAGGGTGATATGTGGGGGACCTGGGATGCTGCAGCAGCAGTCTTGCTGAGAACGCCAGCGTCCCATTCAGACAGCTGTACCCTTACTCACAGGAGGCTGGGGGCTGGCCACTCTTTTCTCCTGTGATTTTATTACAGGGTCGCCAATGAGAAACTAGGAAACAAGCTCCGAGAGCAGGTGAAATGCATCGCCAAGCTGACTGGGGAAAAGGAGTAAGTCATCCTACACCACCCTGGCTGCTTCCTGGAGCTGATGAGAAGGGTCAGCAGGGAGCCAGGGCTGGCTTTAGCCCTTGAGAGGGTGATCAGCCCAGGAAAGGCCTGGGTGCTCTGGAAAGACCCCAAAGTCCTGAATCTGCATCTGTGTGACCTAGGGCACATCACTGGACCTCTCAGGGCCTTAGTTCCCTTGCCAAAAATACAAAGGGGGTTTAGTTATCTTTTTGCTCCTTCCTGCTCTCATGGTTCTCAGAGGTCAAGGGTGCTAAGCAGGGAAGGGGCACTGAAAGACAGACTGGCTTAATTAGGGCAAGGGCTGAGTTGCTGTAACAGAGATCCCAAGTGAAGGAACAAACAAGGAACGTCTCTTCATGAAATCATCAGGTGAGCAGGCCAGGTTGAAGGAGCCCTTCTGTTCCACCTGCTCATCTGGGGGACTGTGGTCTTGCTTCCCCTCATGGCCAAAGCTGGGTCCACTAAGAGGGAGGTATGGGAGGAGTGTTACCAGTTTGAGAATGAAGGTGAAGCTATGAAGGTCTAAAACAGATTTTGGAGGTAGCAAAGTAATAAGTAACAAGCCTTAGGACAGCACTTCCCAACCTTTTCTCAGGGAACACTTAGAAAACGACCATACCTTACATATTCACCATGGATACTACGCAGCCATCAAAAAGAATGAAATCGGCCACACGGTGGCTCACATCTATAATCCCAGCACTTTGGGAGGCTGAGGCAATGGATCACCTGAGGTCAGGATGTCGAGACCAGCCTGGCCAACATGCCAAAACCTTGTCTCTACTAAAAAATATATAAAAATTAGATGGGGGTGGTAGTGCACACCTATAGTCCCAGCTACTTGGGAGGCTGAGGTGGGAGAATCACTTGAACCTGGGAGGCACAGGTTGCAGTGAGCCAAGATTGCTCATTGCACTCCAGCCTGGGTAGCAGAGGGAGATTCAGTCTCAAAAAAAAAAAAAAAAGAATGAAATCATGTCTATTGTGGGAACACAGATGGAGCTAGAGGCTATTATCTTTAGCAAACTGACACAGGAATAGAAAACCAAATACCACATCTTCTCACTTATAAGTGGGAGCTAAATGATGAAAACTTATGAACACAAAGAAGGAAATAACACACACTGGGGCCTATCTGAGGGTGGAGGATGGGAGGAGGGAGAGGATCAGAAAAGATAACTATTGGGTACTGGGCTTAATTCTTTGGTGATAAAATAATCTGTAAACTCCTGTGACATGAGTTTACAGATGTAACAAACCTTCACCTGTACCCTTGAACCTAAAATAAAAGTGAAAAAGAAAATGACCACAGTTTAGGATCATTTGAGGCCAGGAGTTTAAGACTAGTCTGGCATTATAGCAAGACCTCGCCTCTATAAAACATTTTAAAATCAAAACCCAATGAAATATCAACTCACACCAGTTAGAATAGTGATCATTAAAAAGTCAGGAGATAACAGATGCTGGAGAGGATGTGGAGAAATAGGAACACTTTTACGCTGTTGGTGGGAGTGTAAATTAGTTCAACCATTGTGGAAGACAGTGTGGCAATTCCTCAAGGATCTAGAACTAGAAATTCCATTTGACCCAGCAGTCCCATTACTGGGTATATACCCAAAAGATTATAAATTATTCTATCATAAAGATACATGTACACATGTTTATTGTGGCACTTCGCAATAGCAAAGACTTGGAACCAACCCAAATGCCCATCAATGATATACTTGATAAAGAAAATGTGACACATACACACCATGGGCTACTACACAGCCATAAAAAAAAATGAGTTCACATCCTTTGCAGGGACATCATCCGCAGCAAACTAACACAAGAACAGAAAACCAAACACTGCATCTTCTCACTCATAAGTGGGAGCTGAACAAAGAGAACACATGGACACAGGGAGGGGAACGTCACACACTAGGGCCTGTTAGGGGGTAGGGAGGTAGGGGTGGGATAGCATTAGGAGACATACCTAATATAGATGTTGGGTGATTGATGCAGGAAACCACCATGGCATGTGTGTAACTATGTAACCTGCACGTTCTGCACATGCACCCCAGAACTTAAAGTATTATAAATTTTTAAAAATTAGCCTCACCTGGCATGGTGGTGCACATTTATGGTCCCAGCTAATCAGGAGGCTGAGGCGAGAGGACTGCTTGAGCCCAAGAGGTTGAGGCTGTAGGGACCTATGTTCACACCACTGTGTTCTGGCCTGGGTGACAGACTGAGACCCTGTCTCTAAAAAAGAAGGATAAAAGTAACCACGTTTGTTTGGTATATTTGTGACAAAGCTGACCAAGCAGTGGCTGCCCCAGACCCTGCCCCAAGGGCTGCAGGTATCTCCACACACCTGGAACCCATTTGTGACACCCCAGGTGGAAAGCCCTATTCTAGGCTTTGACCTAGGTACACGGCTGAGTTGAAGAGAAGGATGAGACCCACCAAGGAATTGAGAAGCCAGGACTTGGATGAGCAGTATGGGGTATTAAAGGCTTTGGGGAGGCTGACAGGAGGGGCCAGAGAGCCAGGGAAGGAGGGCACTGGTGGGACTCCCTCACCAGATCCAGTGGCACAGAGAGTGAGGGGCCACCAGAAGGAGAAGAGGCATCCTCAAGATTGGCCAAGTTTGTAAGAGCAAAAGCATAGAGCATATGCCCAGGGAAGAGGTTGAGGATGAATTCTTTTCTCAGTTCCTCTAGAAAAGACCGTGAAACCTTTCACTAGGGTATAACTAAAAGAAACGTGGTCAGGCTCTAAAGGTAACATATAACTTCAGTCTTTCTCTTCTATTGTGCCAAGTCCAGGAAGTTCTGTTTCACAGAGAACTCACTCTTGAGTTTTCTTGATCTTATCTGATAGAAAATCATCTTTTAATGATAGTATTAGCTCAACTAATACATATTGTTTGCCATGTGTGAGGTACTAAGTGCTTTACACATACGAACTCATTTCATCTTCATAAGACCTCCTGTGCTCAGTATACTCATGATCCCCATTTATGGATGAGGAAAGAGAGGACCTGGGAAACTAGGTAACTTGCCCCTGGTCTCACAGCTAGCAAGTGGCAGAGTCACAATTCCAACGTGGGAAGTCTGGAGCTCACTCTCACCTCCTGCCCTCATCAGTTTGGAGACACACAACAGTGATAATAAAAGTTGCCATTTATTGAGCCACAGGGAATGCACTAAATTATCTTCCCCCTTACCTACATGGCAGTCTCCATTTCCTCATCTGTATAATGGGGATTAAGTAATCTGCCCAAGTTCTTGACAGAGCTGGGATCTCCTTTGCTCCCGAATCTTCAGCAAAGGGAGGCAGAGAGAATGAGGGCTTTGGCACTGGTGCTGGGTGAGAGCATTTCTGAGGTATAGCCACGAGAATCTGAGGACACATGGTCACAGTTGTCCCTAACAGCCTTCTGGCTCTTCAAGTTAAATTTCTATCATTTATCAAGCCAGATCCTCATATGAACCCCATCAGTCAGGCCAGGCCTGACTGTCCCCATCTGACAGATAAGAAAACAAGCCCAGCGCTGACAGAGTCAGGCAGGAAACCCCAGGCCTGCGCTTCTTTCACAGGACTCACGTAGGCCTCCATTTCTACAGAGCATGTGTAAGAGCACAGCTCTGAATAGACCTGGGCATCTGTGCTATCTTCCCTGTGACACCTTTATCTGTCCTTTCTAGCAGGGAACCAAGCAGAGCCAGCAGCCCCAACACCCACCCATCCTTCCTCTCCTTCCCACAGCCACCTCCACAATGTAATGGTCCACCTGCAGCAGGAAAACAAGAAGCTGAAGAATGAGATAGAAGAGAAGACGAAAGCTGAGAACACGAGGCTATGCACCAAAGCCCTAAGCCCAAGCAGAACAGAGTCCACACCGAGGGGGAAGGTGTGCGGCACCTTGGGCTGGAAGGGGTTGTCCCAGGATGTGGGTCAAAGAATGGACCTCAGCAAATACATCAGGATGCCCCACTGCCCAGGTATGTCTGCCATTTGTCAAAAATAAGTGTAATTTTTTTTTCTTTAAATCGCTGGATGGAGAATTCAAGTAGGAAGAAGAAAATAGGTCTTTTGTGACCTCAAGTCATTTTCTTAGCTACTTGAGACCAAAGATGGTGGTTTTGATGTCTGTAAAGGGAGGAGGCAAATTAAGACCCCTTCTGATCATACCCAAGTCTAAGATCATCTGATCATACCCAAGTCCCTCACATCTCAGACCTGTCCCCCCACACCCCGACCCAGACCCATCTTGGAGAACAGGTAGAAAAGGCATCTCCCTTCTGTGTCTGGAAACCCTGTAAGAGCACCCCAGCTACCTACTCAGCCTGAGTCCATAGCCACCTTTCCTGCTACCCATAAACTCCATGTTATCCCAGAGGCAAGAAGTCACCCTGCAGCTGAGCTGTCTGGCCGTGCGGCCAGTCCTCAAGAAATCACCTCATTAATTTCTCCTCAAATCACAACTCTCATTTCCTCCCTGTTCCCTCAGGTTCCTCGTATTGCTAGAATCCACGTCGAGCCCTGAGTCACATTTCCATGCGTGTTTCTTCAGAGGATAGTGAGTTCCCAGCCCTCTCTCTTGACCTGGATCAGCTCTTACAGGAATATATCAAGGTCCCAGCCTATGTTGTAAGATGCTAACACTTTGTTGAGTTTAGCCTGCTTCCTGCAATGGAGTGAGCTTTAGAACCTTACTGCCATTTCCAGGCCCAAACTCTGAAATAAAGACATGAGCATGAGCACAGCAGTTGTGGTGAGCTTTTGGCATCTTGCAGACCTTTCTGCCCTGCAAGCCTCCAGCAACGTGTTCATCCTGTTTTCTCTGGATTCTAAGAGGTATTGGTCTCTTCCATATACAGGGAAGCCATAATCCCCAATGCAAACTTCTGGATTTGTTTTTAAACCAACAAAAGTGATAAGTAGCTCCTTTTCTTTGTTTATTTCCATCGCTATCTGAAACTTAAAAAGAGAAAGTCTAAAAAGTCCAAAAAGGAAGTAATCCTGAGACCCAAAAGAAAGGAAGAGCAGGCCAGGCACAGTGGCTCATGCCGGTAATCCTACTACTTTGGGAGGCCGAGGTGGGCAGATCACCTGAGGTTGGGAATTTGAAACCAGCCTGACCAACGTGGAGAAACGCCATCTCTACTGAAAGTACAAAAAAATTAGCCTGGTGTGGTGGTGCACACCTGTAATCCCAGCTACTCAGGAGGCTGAGGCGGCAGAATCACTTGAACCTGGGAGGCAGAGGTTGCGGTGAGCCAAGATCGTGCTATTGCACTCCAACCTGGGCAGCAAGAGCAAAATTCTGTCTCAAAAAAAAAAAAAAAGAAAAGAAAGGAAGAGCAATAACGGCTTGTATTTTCCAAATAGGGGAGCAAGAGCACACCACCTGCTCCGCCTGGTTTCCACATTCCCTTCCTCCTTCTAACAACTTTATTTGCGTCCCCAGCCACCTCAGTACAAGTGAAATTCCATTATGCCAAACTCCAAGGACAGCTAAACTATTTTATTCTGGTAGGATTTTGTTAAACTCGAGTACGTCTAGCATTTATATTTCTAGTCTGTAGGAAATGGAGAGAACTCACTACTAGGGTAATATTAATATAAGAGAAAGAAATGAAAGATCTTACACTTCTGAGGGGGCAGTAAAAGTGAAGGAAGAAACCCACTGGTTAGCAATCATTCTTAAATATTCTTCCTGGGCCTAATAAAGGCCTAGAAAATTCACTGCTAATAGCAACACTGACGTGTTACATAGAATGCCCCTGACAGAACTTGGGAAGGGCAGTTCTAGAAATACAGTGTGAGCTAGGAGTGACAGGCATCTCTGGTAGTTTCTGTTATGATCGTTGTTGTCTGTTTAAGCTCCTTGATCTATGTTCCCCCATGTGGTTTAGAATATGGGTTTATTTTCTAGAGAAAACAAAGACTAAAAATTCTAGTACAAATCTAGCCTGTGGCTTCTTTCATTCAAACAAAAGTTCAATGCCATTAAAATCTCCAGGCTAGTCTACTAAAAAGGCATCTTATCTCTATAATTTACAAAAATGTTTCATGTGTGTTGGCCAAAATGACAATCTCTGGTTTCTTTGAAGGTTGTACATTTTTCCAAAGTTATCTTTCACTTCCTGTGGAGGGATTATACCAGAGCAAAGCAGGTAGTCAGTTAAGGAGAGCTAATTGGTAGCAGAGCCAGAAAAACATCGACGTATTACCCAGCCATCTGACTTTGACAGCCCAGACAGACAAAAGACCTGGCTAACTACAGGAATGGACTTAGAGAAGGGCAGTTTCTCTAAAAACAGGAGGGAAGGCAGGAAAACTGATGTTGCTTGCCTATAATTTGTTAAGAAATAACCAAAGAATTGAGTTCCTAAAAAGTAGTTTGAACAGCTGATATTTTTTTAAAAAAATGGTTACAACAATACTTTTTATGAATTTTTTTAAAAAGCACTCAACAAATGAGGATTAGAAGGAAACTACCTCAACAAAATAAAACCACATATGAAAAACCCAGAACAAACATCATACTCAATGATGCAAGACTAAAAGCTTTTCCTCTGAGATCAGAAATAAGGCAAGAACATCTACTTTGCCGCTTCTATTCAGCATTGTACTGGAAGTTCTAGCCAGAGCAATTAGGCAAGAAAAAGAAATAAAAAGGATTCAAATTGGAAAGGAAGAGGTAAAATTATCTCTGTTCACAGATCTTATATGTAAAAAACCCTAAAGACTCCACAAGTCAAAACACAAAAATGAGTTGCAGTTTTATATTCCAACAATTAATAATCTGAAAGGAAATTATAAAAATAATTTCAGCCAGTCATAGTAGCTCATACCTGTAATCCCAGCAGTTTGGGAGACTGAGGTGGGTGGATCACGAGGTCAGGAGTTCAAGACCAGCCTGGGCAACATGGTGAAACCCCATCTCTACTAAAAATATAAACATTAGCCGGGCATGGTGGCATATGCCTGTAGTCCCAGCTACTGGGGAGACTGTGGCAGGAGAATCGCTTGAACCTGGGAGTTGGAGTTTGCAGTGAGTCAAGATCGTGCCACTGCACTCCAGCTTGGGCAACAGAGTAAGACTTTGTCTCAAAATAATAGTAATAATTTCATTTCATTTAAAATAGCATCAAAAATAATCAAATATCTGGGCATTAACCAAGGCAGTAAAAGGCTTGTACAATAAAAACTGTAAAACATTACTGAGAGAAATTAAAGGAGATATAAACAGAAACACATCCCATGTTCATGAATTGAAAGACTTAACATTAAGATGTCAGTACACACAAAGTGATCTACAGATTCAATGTAATCTCTGTCAAAATCCCAATTATGGTTTTTTTTTTTTTTTTTTTTTTTTTTTTTTTTGCAGAAATAAGAAAACGCAACCTAACCACATGGCATCTTAAGGCATCCCAATAACCAAAACAATCTGAAAAAAGAAGAACAAAGCTGAAGAACTTACTGATTTCAAAACTTGCTACAAACCTATAGTAATCAAAATAGTGTGGTGCTGCCATAGAAACCAAAAGACAGACATACAAACCAATGGAATAGAATAGAAAGAATTCCAGAAATAAACCCTCACATATATGGTCAAATAATTTTGACAAGGATGCCATCCTTGGGGAAAGAATAGTATTTGTTTTTCTTTTTGTTCTCCAACAAATGGTGTTGGGAAAACTTGGTATTTGCATGCAAAAGAATAAAGCTGTGCCCTTACCTAACACCATATATGAAATTTAACTCAAAATGGATCAAAGACCTAAATGTAACCACTAAAACTACAAAACTAATAGAAGAAGACCTAGAACAAACCCTTCATGACATTATATTTGGCAGTGATTTCCTGGGTATAACACCAAAGGCACAGGCACCAAAAGAAATAACAGACAAATTAGACCTCATGAAAATTTTAAAATTTTGTGCATCAAAAGCAGTATCATAAAAAGGCAACCCACAGGTGAAAATATTTCCATCATATCTGTGATGTTAATTATCCAGAATAGATACAGAACAACTCCTAAAACTCAAGAAAACAACTCGGTTCCAAAATTGGCAGAGCATATGCTGAAGAATGAAACTGGACCCCTATCTTTCACCATATACAAAAATTAACTCCAGATGGATTAAAGATTTAAATGCAAGACCTCATCCTATAGAAATCATTCTTGACACCAGCTCTGGCAAAGAATTTTTGGTTAAGTCATCAAAAACAATTGGAACAAAAACAAAAATTGTTAAGAGGGACTTAATAAACTAAAGAGATTCTATACAGCAAAAGTAACTGTCAGCGGAGTAAACATACAACCTACAGAATGGGAGGAAATAGTCACAAACTATGCAGCCGGCAAAGGCCTAATATCCAGAATCTATAAGGAACTTAAGCAAAAAACATACAAGCAGCCAACAAGCATATGAAAAAATGCTCATCATCGCTAACCATCAGAGAAATGCAAATCAAAACCGCAATAAAATACTATCTCGCACCAGTCAGAATGGCTATTACTAAAAAGTCAAAAAATAACAGATGCTGGCAAGGCTGGCGAGAAAAGGCAACAATTACTATTTGTGAGAATGTAAGTTAGTTCAGCCACTGTGAAAAAATGAAGTTTTCTCAATTAACTTAAAACACAGCTACCATTCAACCCAGCAGTCCCATGACTCGGTGTATACCCAAAGAAAAATAAATCATTCTACCAAAAAGATGCACGCACTCGCATGTTCACTGCTACACTGTTCACAATAGCAAAGACATGGAATCAACCTAGGTGCCTAGCAATGGTGGACTGGATAAAGGAAATGTGGTACATGCACACCATGGGATACTACGCAGCCATAGAAAACAATGAAATCATGTCCCTCGCAACAACATGGATGCAGCTGGAGGCCATAATCCTAAGCCAATTCGTGCAGGAACAGAAAATCAAATACCACCCCTTCTCACAAGTGGGAGCTAAACACTGAGTACACAGGAGCATAAATATAGGAACAGTAAATACTGTGGACTATTGGACAAGGGGAGTAGAGAAAAGGAAATGGGCTGAAAAAATACCTGTTGGGTATTGTGCTCCCCAGCTGGGTGATGGGCTCCATACCCTAAACCTCCAGATCACACAGTATAGCCATATAACCTGCAAATGTACCCTCTGTATCTAAAAGTTGAAACTTAAAATTAAAAAAAAGTTACCAATGCGCCATATATATATATATATATATATATGTATATATATGAAGAGGACTTGAGACATTTCTCCAAAGAAGATAAACAAATGGCCAATAATAAGCACATGAAAAGATACTCAACACCACTAATAATTAGGGAAATGCAAATCAAAACTGCATTGAGATACCAGCCATTAGGATGACCGCACTAAATAAAAAGTACAGGAAATAACAAGTGTCAGCCAGACTCAGGAGTCCACTACGGGGCCACGGGGCTAGAGACCATGGTGTTGTTATAGGTATGCTTTTGTACCTCTAGAAAAACCATCAGTTGCCATCTGAAGAAAAGACAGAATCAGAATATTAAAGCTGGAAGGAACTTTAAGGAAGATCCAAATGGAAAGGGTCTGTCATTTAAAAAAACACACTAGAAACACAGGAAGAGACAAAACCTTGAGCAGAAGCCACAGTACTGTGACAGATTCAGGAGAGCTGCTGCGGGTGGGGCTCTCCATTCCTCTTGCAGCACCCACATGCACCAAGTATCCTTCACCATGTGTTCCTTGGT